GGTGACCGGCCCGCGGCGTGGTGTCGCCGCTGGGCGCCGACGCCATTGTGGTCCTCAGCCTCTGTCCTGCGCCCGGTCGCTCCATGCTTCCTCTCCGTAGTCCCCGCTGGCGCGCAGGGCTGTCACCAGATGACATTTTAGGTGTGTGAGTGTGCTTTAGGGGGAGTGTGGGCCCGTGGGTGTGAAAGGCCCGTTTTGGTCTCCTCCATGTTCCAGCGGGATGGAACTGGAAGAGCCCGGTTCGAACGGCTTGGGTGACACGAACCACTTTCACAAAATGGGGTTTCGGTTTGGAGAGGGTCGGGGGAATAAGGTGACAAGCTAAACCGTCACGAAGGAAGGTTTCAGAGTTGCAGGCTGAGGGCCAACAGCAGAGACTTGCTCTGTCTTCATCAGCAAGCGTCTTCTTGGGGAAGCAGAATAAAAAATGGAAAATCTTGCTAAAACAAAGCAGTCTTTTCCCATTAGGAACGGCTGCCATGCAAGGTTTTACAGCATTTAGGGTTGTTAAGATTTTACAACTTGAGAACACTGGACAAATTCATTAAGTCACGTGAGAGGTTAACTTGTACAGAAGGACAATAATGTAAGAAAAAATAACTTGTTCCAAGTACTGTGGAGCAAAAAAGGGAAGATTCTAGTACATGGCAAGGGGCACTGCCTTGTACCGCGTCCACCGCTACCTAGAAAATCAAGGAGAAATACCCATATTGCCAGCATCCACTAACAGTTCGTTAAATCAGCCTAGTTCTTAAAAGTCCTATACTGAGTTTACACTTTTCACAGGTTTTCTACTAGTATAACCATGCTGGCTAAAAAGACTTTCTTTTTTTTTTCTTCCTTACTGGTATATTTTAACAACTCTTGCCTGAGGTGTATTTATAGTATATAGTATAATATAGTGTCATAATAATTTATAACATATAAAGCTTATAAGTAGTATATATGGGTATAAATGGTTAAAAATTATCTTGCATAGCTGTGTTTTAAAACACTTCCGCAGCCAGGTCTTTGCTTGGGAAAAATGGTAATGCCGTGTACCTCACTGAGGTACAAATTCTGCCCCCTCAGCCCCACTGAGCCCAGCTGCTTGATTCCATTTTTCCCCGCTGGCTCACACCCATGGGCATCTCCTCACTCCTGTCCCGCTACAATTCTCAGCAAGCACGAGGCCTCGAAAGACTAAGCTAACGCTCTAGTACTGATCAACCAAACTATGTCCTGGTCTGCCCAGGTGTTGCAGCAGCGTGTTCTCCAGTGCTTTTGCTTGTAAGAGCACTCCAACATGGAAACATCCAGCTGGGCCTTTCATGGGACCAGGCTGGGTGCTGGGGAGCTGATTTCCCTGGGCTTAAGGCATGTTCAGAGCAGTGAGACATGCCCTACTAGTTGGGAACTGCTGTGGTACCACTCGTTCCCCATTTAAATCATGTTGTTACATCTCCATGTCAATTAATATAACTGGACCACCTCCAGCAGGCTCCTATTGCTATGCTTAAAGCGGAATAAACCTTGCATGGTGGAGCAGTTGAGCCATTTCATGCTCTACTGCTATTTTCCTGCTGTTTTGTTACCCCTACTCCTGTCAAAATTGATGTTGTCCAAGGCTGATGAAGAGATCCATGGGGGAACAGCTCTTTCTCATGCTGAGAATGGATGACACCCAAGCATGTGCACTAATGCTGCCTTTATTGCTTTCCATTCTAGTCTTCTAATGAGGTAGAAGAGGAATCTACAGAGCTGTTTTGGGGTTTTTTTTGTATGGTTGGTGGCAGGGGGAGGGGGAATATCAGGGGTCAAATTCCCTGAATTCTCCATTTTGAGTCATCTTAGATCTTCTGTTGTACATTTATTGTAGCCAGGCACTGTAATGGTCTTGAGAGATTCTATGGCAGTGTTTCTACTTTTGTGTTTGGTTTTAATCCATTAGCCTCTCATATACCAGACTGTTCTTACCCCTAGCTATACCCCTTTTTGTGCCTTTGACAGCCTGAAAAGGAGAGTTAGTAGCTTGTGCTCCTGGTCTCTTCGCTCTGGTGTATGCCAAAACAGACAAGATGCCAGACCATGGATTTTGTTGACTCTAGAACTGAAGTCACAGATAAAGGAGGCCATAAAGTCTACAGAAGCCCAGGGAACACAGAAGGAGAGATGCTAACCAGAGATAGATAAAGGAAAAATAAGGCAGGTAAGAATACATCTCGTGCAGAGGCTGCAGACATGAGATCCAGAAGTAAGGGCATCAGAGGAAAAAGGGCAACAAGCAGAACAAATATTTCTGTGATCAGCTGAATTAATGAGGCCAGTTTTCTCAGAGGGTTGTTCCTTTCCTCCCCATAATGACTCCAGCTCCATTCATAGTCACTGTGACACCCCAATGGAGAGAGAGAGGTGGCTCGCGCTGTGGTAACGTGCAGCTGGCCAGCTGACTGCTGCCGCACAGTTCAGCAGAGTTTGGCCTGTCTCTCTTTAGCGGGGGACACTGCCTTGGGCCTCTTATCGTCTTACCCAGCTGCTGATTTTCACAGAGCGTGTCCACGCATCATTATCTTTGGGTGTGTTTTTCTGCCAAATCTGGCTGAAACTTGGACATTTACATCAACCTCCTTTCCTTAAAAAAGTAGGCTGAAAATAAATTTTATAGGGGAGTCACACTTTGCTTAACAAAGAATATGAATAAAACCTAACAGAGTGAAAGAAAACTGGCAGTGAGCTAGAAGAGGCAGGATGAACAATGCCTCTCTACATTTTGAGGTGGTGTTACCAGACCCAGGAGCACTCCATACGCTGTGTTCCTTAGGCTGGCAGAGAAGAGGGCACACTGGAAGGGGCAAAGTTACGCACCTTCCAGGTTACACTGCTTCCAGCCCCAGAATTAGTGCTATACTTTATTTAAGAGGGTACAGATAGCCAACAGGGTAATAGCATGATAACCAACGTGCAAACAGGAATGCTGTATGAAAAACATTGCAAAGTGGGAGTAAGAAGCTGGGCTGACTGCATTAACAAAGTGAACATTAATTGGACTCCACGTTCCCCACCTGGCTGCTTTTAAGAGGATCTGGTCTCTTAGAAGCAGAGGGAGTGAGCCACATCTTGTAGCATGCCCTTACCAGCTCAGGTTTTTTTGTCCTTCTGTTATTGCCAGTCAGCTGTTCCTAGCATTTAATACACATTATATTAATGAATGCTACATTTTCCAATTTCATGCTATACTAGGCAGCATGATAGGAAGACAGTATCGGACAGGCCAGAAGAGGCATGTGAATACCATTTTTAGCTGGAGAAAGATACTGAGGTTTTTTGTTTTCTCGCAGTGGTTATTCCTTTTTCCTAACCGGCCTCCCAGACAAAGGCAGGCAGTGGCTAGGGAGTTAAGGGAAGGGCTGAATGTAGTCCAAAACATGTGGTAACTAAGCAGCAGGACTTGAAACCCTTTCCTGAAAGACAACACAGAGACTCACCTCTTCTTCTTTTTCTTCCAAGGAGGCAGTTCCCGTTGCACTATTTTCCTAGCGCAAGAAATTATGATCATCAGGAAAAGACTTCTTTCAGGGTATGTTATGTTTTCTCTCATGTCTTCTTTTCAGGTTGTATGTGTCAAGAAATGGCATGGAATGGAGTGGGGGAGCTGTCTCTGACAGCTGCGGTTTAATCCTGGAAAGAGGGGGAGGAAAGACAACTAGGGAGTAAGTGACCTATATCAGTCCCAAGAAGAGATGAACAGAGGGATGTTGTATTTGTTTCTGTTTGTATTTCTGGGACTGATGACATTATTTATGTGTTTATGACACTTTAATATTCTTTTTTCCTGTCTTAGGGCCAAAACTCATAGT